ACATGTGCAAATGCAGACCACACCCTGGGACACACATATGTGCACTTGTGGACCCACACCCTGGGACACATGTATACATGCAAACCCATACACTGAGACATACACACACAGGTACACATGTGGACCCACACACCAGGACACACATACACATGCAGACCACCACACTGGGACACATGTACAAATGCAGACCCACACACCAGGACACACATACACATGCAGACCCCTACACTAGGACATATGTACACATGCAGAACCACACACCGGGACACACATATGTGCACTCGCGGACCCACACCCTGGGACACATGTATACATGCAAACCCATACACTGAGATACACAGGTACACATGCAGACCCACACACCAGGACATACATACACATGCAAACCCACATACCGGGACACAAAAAAGTGCACACACAGACCCACACACTGGAACATATGTACCCATGATTAAAAATAAAATAAACAATGAAAAATAAAAATGAGCAAATATACCTATTTGTGGCTAACTTACAGCCATATCATAAAGGCCTTATTCAGATCTGCATTTTGAGCTGCTATACAGCACAGTATGGTAACTGAATATTTACCATGCCATCATCTGAAACGATCTGTAGCTCTGGTTGGAATCCGCTTACTCATGGGCAGCCACTTAAACAGCTACAAAAACACATGGGCTGACTCCAGGGACGAGAGTCCCCTGCCTGTGCTACGCATGCACTAGCCACTCCTGGGCCCCAAGCGCCTTGATTTACAGTGCTGGCAGACAGACAGGGAGACAGGCCAGAAAACAGGTCAGTACAAGTTGGAGTACCAGGAGAGCAGCTCCCGACAGCCCAGGCATGTGAAGGGTCTATGCACAAGCTCTGGGAGGGAGCCGATGAACCCACCACGGGTCTGGCATTGGATTTCAGTCTCTCCCTCTACAGACCTCCCGCTGAAGAAAAAACCCCTGCAACTCAGAGCTGGTCACACAGTGCAGCCTCCAGGAACAAGGGTTTGCTAAAGATGCTCCTGGAAGGCTGACCGGGCGGGACGGCAGGGGCACTTTATTTCAGGGAACTCCCTGAACCTCGCTCTAGACTGGATTTGGCATTCCCTAGAGAACTGCTCCCTGTAGGCCTGGGAGAGCCTGAAGCTGGCACCACAGTCTCAGACACCCTCTAAGGCCCCAACCCCACACACCCTCCCCAGCACTGGCCAGCCTGGTCTCCCAGTGGGAGAGGATGGAGAGAATGGCCAATGGCTGGGGAACGGGGCTCCTCACCAGTCAAGGGCTCCCTCCTCTTCGCTTACAACCAAGTTGAAGGAGGACTACACAGAACTGTTAATAAACTACTAAAAATAATTTTTATGACAGAAAATTAGATCATGTAAGAGACACAATTTGGAAAGATTTAAAATTCTTGAGTAAAATGTTATGACAAAACTCACTCTGTATCCCCATCTCATCCATATGAGCACATTTCTCAGTACTCACAGCTATAGGAGCAATGAACGAAAGCAGAACTGCTGATTCAAACACAGACGTGAACTGTGGAAAATCAATCAAATATCCATCTTCCTACGAGATACCTACCTCACATTTTAACAGTCGTCTACAAAACACATAAAAGAGTTATAGTAACCAAGTATATACTGCTAAGAATAATTTGATCCAAGGGCTGGAGAGATGACTTAGTGGTTAGGAGCATTGGTTGCTCTTTCAGAGGACCCAGGTTCAATTCCCAGCACCCACATGGCAGCTCTCAACTGTCTATAACTCCAGTTCCAGGAAATCCGACACCCTCTTCAGGCCTCTGAAGGCACCAGGTATACAGGTTGTTCACAGACATACACATAGGCAAAACACCCATACAGATAAAATAATAAATTTAAGGGGCTGGAGAGATGGCTCAGAGGTTAAGAGCACTGGCTGTTCTTCCACGGGTCCTGAGTTCAATTCCCAGCAACCACATGGTGGTGGCTCACAACCATCTATGAGATCTGGTGTCTTCTTCTGGCATGCAGACATACATGCAGGCAGAACACTATATACATAATAAACAAAAAAATCTTAAAAATAACAATAATTTAAAATAATACTTTGATTCAGAAGAAAATTTTCACTTAGAATTCTATCTACTTTGAAAATAAATACTGTAATATGTAGCCTTCTAAGTAAACGTTTATTGCAGAGAACCTGTCATCATTCCACACATCTTCTGGGATCTGCCCTACATCTAGGAAACATCGAGTTTCCTAGGTGTCTTAGTTTCTATTGCTGTGAAGAGACACCATGACCACAGCAACTCTTATAAAGGAAACCATTTAAAGGGCTGGCTTACAGTTTAGAGGTTCAGTCCATTATCATCGTGGTGGGACATGGAGGCGTGCAGGCAGACATGGTGCTGGAGACGGAGCTGCGAGTTTTACATCTTGATATGCAGGCCAATGGGAAGTAGTCTGAAATACTGGGTGTGGCTTGAGCATATGACACCTCAAAGCCTGCCTCTCCAGTGCCACACTTCCTCCAAGAAGGCCACACTTACCTCAACAAAGCCACACCTCCCAATAGTGCCACTCCCCATGAGCTTATGGGGGGCCAGTCACATCCAAACTACCACACCAGGTTAGGATCTTATGGGTTAAGGGAGTTTGCGCTAAGACTGGACAGGGAACCTTTACTGCTGCAGTCTGAGGGCTCTGAGAAAGCCTTGTCTGATAGAAGGACCTACTGCAGATCTGAAAACCTAAACCACTGGGCCCAGGATGACTCAGCCGGACAAGGTGCTTGGCTCAGACCTGACAACCTAAGCTTGATCCTCTGACCCCACAAGGTGCGGGAGAGAAGACTCTGAAGAGATGCCCTCTGATCTCTCTTACACGCACACACACACACACACACACACACACACACACACACACACACACACACTGCAAATGGCTATGGGAGGTAGATAGGTGCTGCCTGTGGTGACGCTCTGTGTACCTGGGAGTCGATGACGAAGATCAGTGCTCCTGTTCCCCGGAAGATCATCTCATAGTCGAAGGTAGGGTCAAAAAAGTCAATCTGCCCTGGGAAGTCCCAGATCTGGAAGTTGACAAAGGAACTGTTGGACACGTCTTCCCTGCAGATCTTGTTGGTGCTCTCCAGGAACAGGGTCTCGCTCGGGGACATCTTGTGAAAGACAACTTTCTGTATGGACGACTTGCCGCTCCTTCTGAGACCCATGAGCAGGATTCTGGGCTTCACCTCAGTGCTGAAGGGGTCACTGAAGTCCAGAACTGGAGAAACCACAGAAAAGGACGGGGTGAGTCCTTCACAGCAGCTAACGGGGAGTTTCACCTCCACCTCAGATGGTCTGTCACTCAGATGCTGCTCTTCCAGTGTCACCTCTACCACTCATGAGGGGGACAGTGTGGGGACATAAAGAACCCTGAAAACTGCCCAACTCCCTCACACATCCCCGAAGGGCAGAGTCCCGTCGTATGGCTCAGCATCCCAAGCAGGGACACTGGAATACAAAAGGAAAGGCTTCCTGGAGCTCGCTGCCTGAAAAAGAACTCAGGTCTCTAGCCACCCCCTCCTCTACATGGCTGTCAGAGTCTCTTGGCTCTTGGTAACCCTCTCCTGGCTGGAGCCCTTGCAGGTCTCCCAGCCTAGAACACAGGCACAGGCCAGGGACCTCCGACTCAGACTTGAGAGAGCACAAGAGACTCAGACCTCTCTCCAGGACTGTCCACGTCGGCTTCCGTCATCTGGTAAGATAACCACGGACAGCTATTAACATTTAAACTAAATGATGCTGGAGGGAGGGCTCTGTGGCTGCTCCTACAGAACTGGAGTTTGGCCCAGCACTCCAGTCAGGCTGTTCCCTGAGCCAGCTAGAGGGGATCCAACCTTCTCTTCCAGACTCTGTGGGGACCACAGTCTTGTGCATGAACCCTCGCTCAGACAGACATATGTATGCCTAATTTAAAAAAGAAAAACAAAATCTTCCTTAAAAAAAGAATCAGCTTTAAAAATCTGTAATCGATGACGATAATAAACAGGTCTCAGGTCTGTTATGATCGTTAAATGAAATCAAGGACCTAAATTAATTAAGACTCAAGCAGGCGTGGTGGTACACACCTATAATTCCAACACCTGGGAGGCCAAGTCAGGAGGATCACGAGGTCTAGGCCAGTCTGAGCTATAAGGCATGAAGACTCAATCAGCCAAGGGTCTGGGCCAACTGGTCATCTACATGCAAAGACCCTTACCTGAGACTGAACACAGGTTAATTCAAAATGGACCGAACACCTCAACCTAGGAGCTAAAACTAAGCTCTTAGGGAGAAACGTAGACAGACATCTTAGAGATCTTAGATTAGGCACCTTTGATCTCAGCACGCAGGAGGCAGAGACAGGCAGATTTACACAAGCTTAAGGCCAGCCAGAATTACATAGTGAGTCCTCTGTCTATCTGTCTGTCTGTCTCTCTCTCCTTTTCAGCTTCTCCAATTGCTGAATTGGTAACAAACACCAAATACTTGAATGTTTACCTATGGACTTTAAGACTTTGTTTTTTGTTTTTTTTTGAGACAGAGTCTCACTATGTAGCCCTGGTTGGCCTCGAACTCACTATGCAGACCCGGTTGGCCTCAAACTCAGATACCATGTACAGTATTCGAAGTACATCTCAATTTAAGAACTATTTAATTACATTCTTCATGGTGGGGAGGGGGGCATGGCGTGCATGTGGAGGTCAGAGGATAACCTGAGCCAGTTCTCTCCTCCTTCCATGTGGTCCAGGAGGCAGCTCGCCCCCTCCACACACCTTGCTCCCACCACGCCCCTCCCCCACACCATGGCTGCACAGTCTTCCCCAGTTCAACAGCCAGCTTCCATACATGATACAAGTTGTAATCTAGGGGAGGAAATACTTCTAAAAGGCATTAGTTTCCTTCCTCATCCGTGATCATGCCCTCACAGGACTGCCATACAAGTCTGCCTCAGGAAATCAGAGCAAACAGGACTTAGGTCACATGTTAGTGCCTTCCCAAACTGAATTCCTAAAACCAGAAGAAGAGTATACATTCTAGACAGTAGCCAAACCCAAACCCAGAAGTCAGTTATGAGAAGCCCCTAAGCAATACAAGCACAGATGAAAGAGGAGCCTGTAGGCCTGGGAAACCGAGGTGTAGTCATTCTTACTGCAGCTCATGGGAACTAAAACCGTCTGAGGCAGAACCTGCCATCTCTCCTCCAGACATTCCCTCAAATGGCGAACATGTGAGAAATGTTCCGATTAAGATGCTGATTGCAGGAGAGCATGCAGGCTCGATGGATGGGAGCAGCAAGTTCACGACAGAATCAGAGCAGAGCCCCAGGTACAAAGATGGAATCTAGAGAAAAGAACGATCATCTCAGAGCATGCACAATCCAGGGAAAGGGACATGGAGGTTCTGGAAATAAAAAAGCTGTGGGGACAAGGCAGACAGGATGAAAGGTGGACTCAACAAAGACATGGAGGGGAAGGAGGAACTGGTAAAGAGGGAGAATGCGCCGCCTTTAATCTCAGCACTCGGGAGGCAGAGGCAGGCAAAACTCTGAGTTCGAGGCCAGCCTGGTCTACAGAGCAAGTTTCAGAGCCAGAGCTACACAGAGAAACCCTGTCTCGAAAAACCAAAGGGGGGGGGGGAGAGAGAGAGAGAGAGAGAGAGAGGTAGAATGCCCTATATGGTGTAAAATAAACATCAGTGGCATCAAGAGTAAGACTCAGCAGTCCTGCTATCTACCTAAGAAGTCCCCCAAGGGCAGAGCTCAGCCACCTGTGCCTACGAGCCCAGTGCTCATGAGGGCCAGTTTAAGGCCATTTGGGACAACATGAGGCCCTGCCTCAGAGAAACAAAAAGGAGCAGGGGTTGGGTTTGCCTTTCAGTGGTAGAGCATCTGCTTTGCATAGAGAGCCTCCACCTCCATTCAACTCCCAGCAATGAAGACAGCAGAGCGGGACTAGTCCCCCAGCAATGAAGACAGCAGAGCAGGACTAGTCCCCCAGCAATGAAGACAGCAGAGC